GCCACAAAACCGGGACCGCAGGGTCTGGGCTCTCACCCCGTGCTCCCCTATTTCAGGTTTGCTGGCGGAGAGACGCCCGTGGGTCCGTCCGTGTGACTGGGAGCAGCCCAGAGCCAGGAGGGTGAGTCCTTCCCCGGGCAGCTCATGGTGTCTCCGGCCTGTCCTGTCCTCTGCCCGCCTTGGCTGCTGCCCTCCCCACGGAGCCTGGGCTGGGCACGTGAGTCCCGTGTCACCCTGGCCACCGCTGTCACCAGCTCCGCACTGCCCCGAGAGCTTTAACCCTGCTAGGGCTGCACTGGAGCTGCACATCTTGTGCGCGGTGCTCTCACACCCCTCTGTGCCCGCTGTCCCCAGCTGAACCTGCTGGGTGACACTTTGTCACCTCTTCTTGCAGGGCCAGGGTTGGAGGAGCAGCACTCAGGGTGGCAGTGATGGAAGGACCCTCCAGGACCTGGAGAGGAGGAGGAGGAGGAGGAGGAGGAGGAGGAGGAGGAGGTTTTGGGACAGCCCTGGCTCCTTTGTGCCGTTGGTGCTGGAAATCCGGATCTGGGTAAAAGCTCCGGAGCTGCTCCGGGGCAGCACAGCCCCAGGGATGTGTGGACAGGGGACAAACTCCTGTCTGGGGTGTTCCTGGCACGGCTGGCAGTGGATGTGGACACTGCCAGCTCTGCTTTCTTGAAGGACAAAGGACTCTGTCACTCCAGGCTTGGCCAGTTTCGGACAGTTCATTGAGAAGGAGAGAAGAGCCTCCTGCAGGCTCAAACCCTTCCCGGGATTTCCATCCCTGCTCCGGCTGCTGCATTCCAGGGGTGGGTGCAATTCCAGAGCTGCAGTGATGCCTTCAGCAAAGGAAAAACTCAGGGGAATGAGGGGAGCTCCCAGCACAGAGGAACTGCAAAACCAAGGAATGACGATCTTGTCACATCTCTCGTTGGGGACAGCTGTCCATGCCCGTGCCGCTCAGGGACGGGAGGTGGATTCTCATCTCACCCGTGTGCGGGCACACGCAGCACCTTTGGCCATCAGCGGGTGTCACTATGTTGTGGTGACTGTGCAGATTTTGTGCGGGTTTGTGCCCTCCCTGCAGTGTGAAATAAACCTCGGAATCTCTGCGGTGCCTCCAAATCTGCGCTGAGCAGAGGCTGCTGCTCCATGGGGCGTTCCCGGGGGGCCGCCTGAGGTTTTTTGGGGTGTCCATCTCTCCTCCCGGGGCTGTGCCAGCAGGGAGGAGCCGGGCTCGGGGCGTGCTGTGTGCCAGCCCCTGCCATGTGTGCCCACAGCCCAAAAGCGCAGGCAGAATTGTCACAGGTGCCCAGTGCCACCTCCTGGTGCCAGGGAGRTCCCAGCTCCGCACAGGGACTGTGAAATGGGGTGGGTGCTGCAGGATCGCGCTCGGCGCTTTGCCC